TGTAGTCAACAACGCTGATCGAAAATAAACTCGAGTTAAATTAGTCTTTGATTGTGTATGGCACCCTTCGCATAGGTAAACAGTGTTGAGAAAGGGGCGAGGTAGTGCACTCAGAAAAGCCTACATGTTTGCGTGAATGATTGTGAACAAAATGCAATATAGTTTTACTGATATTATATGACTACGATTCTTGATTCCTGATAACGTGATATTGTTATAGGTATATTAAGTAGTAATATATGATATAGGTATACATATTATTTAATGTAAAAATATTAAAACGATTCTGGCTTTATTGTAAATCACGTGCCATATTCTCATACCACGGAAAAAACGATTTTGACAGTAAGAATATAATGTCAAAAGTGTTATTGCAGCATAATAGACTTGGACGATTATGGCTGTAGTTGGACTAAAATAACTATAGATTTTATCGTTTCCGACATTCTCATTACTCATACTTCCATCCTGTGTATAATGTATGAAATTAACAAAATTATTTATTCATTATCTATATTTATATCTATATCTATACTACTATATAAAATGAAGTCGCTTTTTTTTTGTTCGGGATAAACTCCGAAACTGGCGAAACTACTTATTCAATCGTCGTGCAATTTTTTTTAAATTAAGAGGACATCACAGAGGAGGTTCAAGGCAAAAATTTAGTCCGCTAAAGTTAGTAAATAATTAGTTATTATTAATTAAAATAAATGTGTAAATTGGATATCTATACCTTTTTAGTAAGAAATAGTCGCTGGCTGAAAATAAATAACAATCAAACTCGACAACCAGGTATAGATTTCCGTATTTATTTTGACATCGCCGTACGCTGATATTATTTTCGTTGTATGAACTGTGTAATAGTTTTCTAAAAAGGCGAATTCAAGCAACGAATGATAAAATAAATATTAAAAGTTTCTGTAATTCAGTACCCACTATAACAAAATTGATTCAAAACGTGTACCCAAACATTCAAAATATATCTTCTAAATCATTGAAATGGTTTCAAGAAAGGGCCATTTTGTCACCAACAAATGAGCAAGTCGAGAAATTAAATGATTTGATTATATCTACAGTTTTAGAAAAAGAAGATGCAGTCCATTTCCCAACTGAATTTCTGAACTCTGTAACGCCTTCTGGAGTAGAGAAGGTAAAGTAAGGTAAAGCCTTTTCTTTCTTCTCCATTACTACAAATCAAGGCATAATATTAATAGGCTATGGTAATGGAAAAACTGTTTTAATACCAAGAATACCAATTATATTACCCTCGGATTTAAAAGTATTCAATTTCCCGTTAAATTATCATTTGCAATGACTATAAATAAAGCATAGGGACAAACACTTAACGTTGCTGGAATCGACCTAAGCATTCAATGTTTTCTCACAGTCAACTATACGTCACCCTGTCACGTGTGATATCCAAATTTAATTTGTATATTATTGCTCCCGATCCATAAAAAGTTGATAACGTTGTTTACAAAGAAATTGTTTAAATCTTTGAATTATCAAAATACTGGCATAATTCATCTTTGTTCCATCCATAGTTATACATACAAAATGTACATACACAATTTACATACAATATACATATATATTTACCACTACATACAAAATAATTTTTTTTAAACATTATGAAGAATTCGCGGTGGCGACGCTAAATTTATATGGCTACATTACCACGAAGACGTGACTAAGAGTGATCTAAAATAAAAATAATTATTTAACATCCAGAAAATAAAAAGCAATTTAATATCTGACAAATCTTGCAATAGCGAAGCATTGCCGGGTCAGCTAGTATACGTATAAAGAAGTAAATTCGCTATATGTAATATGTATACTATATGTATTGTGAGTGGTGTATAAGTACAACTAGGTGATGGAAGTGAAAGCGACCCTTCCAAAAATATCTCGGTCTATAAAAAAAATAAGAATAATACGTGAGGTTATACTCACCATATAGGTATTCTAATTCTTTAATATTCATTGTTTGTTGGTTTTTTAGGTTTCTATGAGTGGAGTTCTATTTTCCCACTAATTATTGTTCTTGATTTGAGCGCGTCTCTATTTGTCCTTTGTATTGGTTCCCAAAAGTCTAAAATAAATCCTGCAGTCTTGTATACGAGGTAATTATTCAGTGGTAAACTGGTGTCAATTGAAGAGAATAAAAATGGGAAAGTAAACAGGATCCCACGATCCATATATATATATCAAGATTTACACAAGATTCATATCAGGATTTCTAATATACACATAGGTATGCACAGACTACAGACTGATCTAAACATATAAGGACTTATGTATAATCGGTTTATTCGCGTTGTATTATTATTAGGTATTCTAATGTTATTATATACAAAAGTCGGTCTAAGATTACAAATTATATATCATTATAATAAATTGATATATGTATATCATAATTCATAATACCTACCTATATCTAAATATAGATTAAATAATATTTTTTAGATGTTCTACAATGAACATTTTTATTTATTATAATACCTAACTATAACTTTTGTCTAATTTAACACTTATATGCATATATAATAATTAAATAATAGGTACAATATCATTATAGGTATTATGCAGAAAGTTCGTGATATTGTTTGCTCCACGGAAAAAATCAACAATCAAGCTTAACCGCTGCAACTAACAGATATGTGCATATCCACAAACATCATATTATACGGGCAAGCTATATATTAAAAAAAAATATTATATACTTTATATAGTATATACGATCGTCCGTATAAAGAGAAAATACATGGACACTTCAGAAAATTGAATAAAATAATAACAACATTTATCATCACACAAATTGTAAATTTAATTTTAATGGCGGTAGAATTAAATTATATAATTTTCTTTCATAGATAACCTGATATGTTTAAAGAAAAATCTAATCGTTTCATTTCACCTCGCAGTTCCAAGTCACCTCGATTGACGGCATGTGAAATAAATTGGTTATCGTATCAAAATTGTATACATGGCATATGTGATATGCATGTCCTTCATTTGTCCCATTGTAACAACAAGACAAGGTAACACACTATATTCTTTACTGAACCACTCAAGGGCATCCAAAAAAATATAAACCGGGGGGAGACAATATCCAAAATTTTTGATAACACAGCCTACACAATTACTTTGTTTTTACATGCAATAAAACAATTAATATTAACCAAAATGACAGGGGAGTCGAGTAATTTGATAGTTAAATATGTTTTATTTTGAATGTTATGGTTATGAGGAGGTAATTGGATAATATATTATGATATATTTGGTTTATGTTTTTATACCTATAGGATGCTAGTATATTGTAATATTGTATACGTATATATAACTACTTGAATGATGTATAGTTAATACTATAGACAAGCTTGTACGAATATACCATGTATAGGTACTATATTATAGTTATAAATTTAATTAACTTCAATTTTGAATAAATGAAATAACAAATAATTTATTTTATTCTTTCCTTTTTTTTCTATAAATTAAACTATAAATAGCTTTTGTATTATTAATTATTATGCAGCTGTTTTATTTTTTATAACTATATAATAATATCGTATTAATATTATATACTTACCTATATAAGTGTACAACGTATTACTATTACGTAGGTACCTAACTTATATTTTAACTTTTAATAATTTATAGTAATTAAGTAAACAAATCTATAAGCACTTGTCATATTGTCTTAACATTTTAATTTTAGTCTGTTATTCATTATTTTTTAATTTTATAGAACAGAGCGGAGCGCAATAAAATACAGTATACAATTATAGCATAAGTATAAAATATTATAAATTAATGAGTAGGTATATACAATACAGTAAGGAATACATGTATAATTATATTAAATCCCAGAGTACCTATATACATCTACATATAATTTATACGTCATTTTTCTAAATTCATAATACAATTTAGGTTATCATTTAAAAAAAATAATTTAAAATACTGGTACCTACCTGCGCTGAATTCTAAACCTACAACCGTAGATAACAATTTTTATATTTAAGTATGTATCTATTAGTAATAATTAGTAGATATATACTATAACCGCCAGCAGGTAATAGATAACTATTTTTTCAATTATTAATTTCTTATATAAAAAAATATTTGTTACTTAATATACATTTTTATTCTGTTTGTAAATCTAGTATACTAATTAATTTTTTTATTGTTCAACGATTAACCCACGATCAAAATGAATTACAGTCCAGGATCGAATCTCAAGGAGAATAAATAAATATAAATAATAAAATAAACCTCATTTTTTTCTTGTCCCATGAAGTATTTTTAATTAGTGTTTGAGGTTTATTTTATTAATTATATTATATAATTATATTTACTAATTATAAACACTTCATTTGACAAGAACAAAATCATGTTATCGAGGTTCTAGACTCCACTATATTCCAAAAAAAAAATATTGATAAACATTTAAATATAATATATTAGATACCTATTGACAAAACCTCAGATCATTTTGTCAATGGCGAATAAATGTATTTCATTCTTACTTACTAGTGTTCAGGTACAAATCAGGTGGACCAATCAGAGTAATTGTGTCAGCCATCTTTACCTTAATACACCGTACACCTGTACTTCAAGGTATTATAACTATTGCTGTTGAATCTTATTCGTCCAATTGCAAACGTTTTCGAACCCCTTGTAAGATATGGTTAAAACGGTTTTCAAATTACAAAGGGAACCCCCGTGCAGAGGTTCAAACATAAAACATATTAAGTTTTTATATTATATTCAACATATTTGTATTATATTACACGAACGCAGAAATGTATCCTTCTCGATCTCTGCCTCACTTCTATTCTCTCTCTCCCACTCTCTCAATCGCTAACATTCATTTCCTTTCAAATTCTAAGAAACGTAGTTCGGGTCAAAAGTAACCCTAAAATTGACCTTCAAGCCAACTGAAAAAAGAAAGAAAGAATGTTTGACGATATCATAAAAAAAAAAATCCAAAATATAATATAAATCTATAATATGAGTTATAAATTTATAATAAATCATTATGTAACTGTTAGATACATGTACCTAATTATATTAATCACTCTTATAATCAACAATAAAAGTTTTAATTTAAAAGTTATTTTACCTGTCTTTGTAGGTTCACATATTGTAAAATCTGAATTTTAGACTGTAATATTTATTATTATATTACTTTATTTAAGGTACCTGCAGCAGTTTTACCATTATTAGCATATTACTCTTCATCTTCCTCGCCACCATTTAGTGAACCAGAACCAGAACCAGAACCAGAACCAGAAGAAGATGAATTTTCACCAGTTGCAGGTTCTTCATTGTGGACAGGAGGAGGGATTTTGTTGGGTTGTGGTGTTTGAGGTTTTTCAGAGGTCGTTGGTACATTACCCTTAGTTGGGTTTTCTCTACTTGTTATATCAACGACGATTTTAATATCTTTTTTATCCTCTAGGCTTGGCGTATTTTTCAACTAAAAAAAAAAAAAAAAAAAACGAAATACTGGGATATGTAAATACTAAATATTACCTACAAGGCTACAACAGTTTTTGATTTTGTCTTTTTATTGTTGCAATTCAAAAAGAAATATTCGTAGATACCTACTTACAATTTGAAACAAGTATAAGCATTTTTTAGACTTGAGGTTCCTCAAAATTTGTTATTACAAATTAAAAAATATAAAATATAAAGTTATTTTTATAATCATTTGAAGTTCAAATGTTGACAAAATTAATCTATTTAAACGAAAAATAACAATTTTGGTTACTTTGTTATAATCCAACAGAATATAATCGTAGTAATTGAAAGGTAATAGGTAAGTAATAATAACTGATAACCCATCAATTTTAAAAATATATTTAAATGATCTATAAGCTATTTAGGTATACCATCAACCTTTTACACTATAATATCAGATTTGCAGTTTGCAGTATGTATGTACGATGTATGTTTTTTTTATGCTAATATATAACATTAAAAATATAAAAGAAATAATAATATATATTAAACAAATGTAAAAATAGGCCTACCGCGAATGTGAATTATGAATGAGGTAATAATAGTACCTATATAAATCATAGTTTGTACAGCCTTGTAGGAATATGACTACGAGTTGTATAACTCGAGTAATAATTAGTTTTGACAGTTAAAAATTAAAATATTAAATTAAATTTAGATGAATACAATTTTAATTTGGAAAATATAAATTATACATGCACAAAATCAAAATTGAGATAAAAAATGTAAAAAAAATTAATAAATGGATAGCTAAACTGCAGTTAAACAATGATTATAATACATATTGAGAATAGTTTTTTTTAATCTAAATGCTCTTATAACACCATAATTTACAGTGTTTCCATGTTTTAGTGTACTAATTAACCTTGAGTGTTAGTGAGTCAGTGAGTTGAATCAAAACCGAATAGGTGTGTTGCGATAATAGGATTTGTATAGCTAGGTAGGTAGCTTCAAATTTGAATTATTTAATATATTTGAATGAAAAATTGAATTCCGCCATAAGACTTATCTTCTCCGAAAATCCCTATTTGGATATTTCACACATGTTGTTAGATTTTCAGATGCCGAAGTCACGTCAGTCATCATAAAATCTCAAAAATTGTGTGAACTATATATCCACACTAAGGTTTTTAACAGACTCAATTAATTCTCAATGGGTATATTCAGTATTTTAAAAGGTTTAAAATTAAACGTTATGCGTTCTTAAGAATCTCACATTCACAAAATAGGGTTTCGATTCTATACTCACTGACATGAGACAGTTTCAATGTTTGTACGGAATATTATGCAGGGACTCCCTGTATATGCACGTTAAGTATAATAAGTAACTCATGTATCTATGCACAATTTAAATCGTAAAAGCAGTATTTTATTGCATTTACCGAATTTTGGATAACATTGTTATTTCCCAATGAATTTTCTATATCTTCATTGCTCAAATCTCGACCAATACCATCGAAAACGTAAATCACCGGTGGTGCACACTTGCAAACTCCTTCTTCACAATAACCGAAGTCGAATCCTCTGTGTCTGAAGTAACAGCGAGCTTTACATACCGATCTAAAGCAACTGCTACAGACTAAATTTAACATAACATAGTTTTAGTTCAATTTTATTTTTATATTTTTTATTTATAACAAGCATTATTTATTTTTTAAATCGGGGAAGTCGGTTCTGCCGTATATATATATAGTATGTTTCAAGTGTATAGGTGTAGCTGCGAACCTATAGTCATTAAATATATTAGAAACCACATTACCACAGTAATGGTTGTTTTAAACTTAAATTGAATGTTAAATCATTGTAAGTTCTTATATCCGTACATATAGAAAAAAAATGTTTTCAAGGGGATGATTAAGACACGGTGTGGTGATTTATTAAGAATAAGTAAACGTTACGGGTACGTGGCACTATAGTTTTATAGATATGATAATTATCTATAAACGTTGTTGAGTGCTACTTTATATTATTTTCTCTGCTGCATGAAAAAACATTGAACCAATGATATTAAAATGTTTAAATTATGATTAAGCAAAAATTGTATAATTACGAAAAAAACCTTAAGCAAATTCCATTGTGATTACTAGGGCTCGGATTTATATGTATTTATTTAACCAAAGTATGTATTTATGCAACAAAAATATGTACATAAATATGTGCTAAAAAATGTATAATATGTATTATCAAAAAACAAAATTATGTACATAAATATGTGCTAAAAAATTTATATGTATTATCAAAAAAAATATTTATCTAACTATCTAATTATTATGGTTACAATTAATAATGACATGCATTTTTAAATTTTCGAATTCGAAAGATCGCCGATTATGTCCTAAAATTGATCTATATCGACTGAAAGATCTCTCAACTTCGACTGATGTTATAGGACAATATTGCATGTTGACTATGTCTGAAGGAGAAAGTTCTACAGTATTATTTTGTACTTTTTTAAACATGGGCAAGTCTGTATTAATAAATAATAAATCGTAAATGAACAAATTATCGAAATATGTAGGAAAAATGGAATTATTGAGAAATATGTAAAAACATGTACTTATGGCAAAATATGTAAAAATATGTAAAATAAAATATAGTTCATTTTATTGGAAATCCCTGGAAACGAATTTATCACTTACCTAAATTAATTTATCAAGTCACAGTAAAAATATGTATTTACATATAAATCCGAGCCCTAGTGATTACCAAAAAAAAGTTGTACCTAGGCATCCAGCACAAAAACATATTCATACTACAATTATTCTGAGCGAATAAGGCTAATGGATCTAGTAGGTAGTAAACTACCTGTATGTTGCTTAAAATGATTTATGTTGTATACTATTTACCTAAAAATTATGTTTTTAATTGAAGGATGAAATCATTATTGTCTAAAACATCATATATCTGATGTAGGTACTATGGAATGGTTGAAATAGGTTCGTATAAGTATTTTTTTAATTGGCTATATCATATATATAGACAATTATAATTTTAATATTTGATGACAGTTTTAATTTAGACTTTACTATTAGCTATTCATTTTTGAATAAAAATAAAGAAACAAATTGATTCTATTAAAAATAGGTGTTGGGTGAATATTTTGCAGTTAAGCCATGTTTTTAGTTGGTTTTCCCTAATTAATAAGGAATGCAAGTGGACAACTTGTCCTCCAAAGTGCTAATACTAGTTTAAATTTGTTACCAGAAACCAACCTAAAAGTTAAGGATTGAAAACGCGCTCCAAAACACGATGAACGACAAAATAAAACTTAACTGTAGAACACTATTAAATCAATATATAGGTATTCGGGGTATTTCTTGTTCCGTTCAAAACATAAAAAAACAAATCGTCCATATACATTTATACTACCTATAAGTTCCTAAGAACAATTTATTATTATGCGTATGCCATTATAATAGATTATAATAATACGACAATGTATATAGATACTTTTAACTTGTAAATGTTTCTAAAATTTATATTTAACTATAGCTGTCCCGTTACGGCGTTGCCATATATTTAACCACCTTAGAGGTCTAATTTTGAAAAATCTTTTCAAAAAAAAAAATAATAATAATGTTTACAGATGATTCTAATAATTCTATACACATACTGTTATTAAAAAATGATTTTATAGTTGTAATTATAATTTGTATAGTTAATTATTTTGATTGTGTACACGCTGATGAGTGGCTATAAGTGTAACTCAGCCGACAGCCACTTATTAGTTGGACAATGTACTAAAATTCAATTTGATGCATTCTTAAACCTGATCTGCCCGATTAACTAATAGCAACCAAACAATTTAAAAAATATCAAGTTCTACTAAAAAATTAAGAAAGTTGAGCGGAAAATTAGTCATTAATTAAAATAAACATGCAAATTATATACCTATACACATATAGTATGGAACGGCGGCCCACGCGGGTGACTTAAGTTTGTTTAAAATTTTAAGCGTGATTGCTTAAACTAATATGATGAACAAACACTTATCAAAAAAATCACTATACATTTTTTCATTAATCTTCAGATTGATCCCACTGTGAAATAGCACTAAGAAATGTTTTGATAGAGGGTGAGAATTATCAAATGAGCTTTTAATTAGGTCTGGAGGATCCTCGAACTGATGTAAAACAACTCAACCGTAAGCGCAGCAAAGTCTCATCTTTCCATTTTTTTTGCATTGCACTTACGACATAATGTAGCCATTGGTCCTACTTGAATCGCTGCAATATCTAAATAATTAATCACTGATCGATAATTAAACGCTGATTTCAGACACGTGTTTAAAAACGTTCTGGTGTGTTATCTTGTTGCCTTCTGTTATACATTCGAGTAGCATTAGCAGTTCTTCTGCCAATCCGTGCTCTTGGCGCTCTCGGCATAATGATAAATTGACAACTTACCCGAAATTTAACTCTATTAGCATGCCCAATAAATCTTCACAAGTAGAGTCAAAAAAAATGTATCAAACTAAGCACAGACTATACCCTAACAATTAATAAATAACAATCAAAACCGTTGCCGGGCAATGCGAGAGATTTTTATTGTTATTTATTTTCAACCACCGACTATTTCTTACTAAAAACTAGTAAAAAGGTATAGGTATACAATTTACACGTTTATCTTAATTAATATTAACTTTATACTTATTTTTAATTGACAAAAAGTGGTACTAAAACCTTGAGCAGAGTGTCGGGTATAACAGTAAAAAATTTCAGCCAAATCGGTTCAGTAGTTTTCTCGGCTAGCGCAGTCGTAGAGGTCTTACAATTGTATATAATATATATAATATATATATATATATTTATTAGGTATCAATTTATATTTTGTAAATGTTTAAATTTTCTTAAAATATTTTTCTGCGTGGTTTTTGCCTACATTTATAGTGAAATTATGTTTAAACACAAGTAAGGAAGTGTGTTGTAAGTATAAGTATACATTTTTTAGATAAAAATATTTCTTTATCTCGTTGACAACCGTAAACTAATTGTATTTTATTTATTAAATAGGCAATATATATTATATTTATTTGATATGGATGATAAACATAATAATAGTAGTAGATATAGATATACATAAAAGACCACACATTTAAAATCATACTTACTTAATAATGGCTAAAATTGTCTTAAATTAAATTAATTTTATTTTATTAGAGAGAATTTTTATATCGATATTTAATAATTTCTTTCATAATTAAAAAAGCTTACATGTTACGTTGATAATCAGTATACAGCATATCGTTTTTAATAAAAATGATTGCATTGCTTGATTCATAGTATTATAAAATTTGAACTAACTTAAGTAATAATATTCAACAAAATTTAACGAATTTATCACTAAAAACTGTTTTGAACATTACAGCAGTAGGCAATGAATATGAATACTTTTAAATACTATTATAATTTTTTTTTAAATAATAAGTATGGTATAGGTAGTTAAACTATGTCTGTCATGTGCACATTTGTCGTTTAAAATAATTATCTTAACACAATTGCAAACTATAATGAAATGTTTTATTTTTATTTGTTTGATATTACGCGCATTTATCGTTTCCGTTTAATAATAGAAACATTTAAAATATTGCTAAATTAGAGTCCTCCGACGAAAATCTAATAGCAAATAATTATATTAAAATCACTTTACAATACTGAATTATGTAACGCTGTCGATCTTTTCCACGTACCTATGGTATTTTTCCGAATGGTATATATTTCGCAAATAGTACCTATAGGTATCTATTAATATTAAAAAATATCATTTATTAATATAACACAAACATAATTTCATCAAATCGTTGCAAAATAATAAACACCACTGAGCACACTTAGTATTTATTTAAGTTTATTTTTTAAGTGCTTTAAATGACATAGTACCTATGTTGTATAAAAAACAAAACCAACCCAAGCGTGATATCGCAGTCCTCAACCAAAATAAGCTCAATGAAGTGAATATGCCAAAATTGTCGTATCCAACATTGACACAACCGCACTAGATCTACTCCCCTACGACAATTTCAAAAATTAAATGAAAACCCAAATGGGAAAAAATGGCATGTATTCTGGAATAACCAGATTACAAAACTAAACCAGATCAAGAGCTCAGCCTGCAGATGGGAAACTCCTAATCTCAATCAAAACGAAACCACTGTAAACTGCCTGAGAATCGGACACACTATGGCACTAAGCTAATTTATGGATATTTCATGTCAAAATACGAACCCCCCATCTGTGAAGCTTGTGGCTCACGACTCACTGTCAAACATATTCTGTAACGGAATGAAATCTGTACTAACTGAATTGAATTTTAAACAAATGTAACATAATGTATAAAGTATAATAATCAAGAATAGTATTTAAGACATTTTAATTAATGACCCTGTCTAGTTGTATTTAAGATCAATACAAAAAAAAATATTTCATTAACTATAAAATGTAGTTTTATAAAACAATGTTATGAGCCGCTGCCAACAAGAAATATATACCTAAATATAATTTCACGTTGTGTAATCCTTGGTCATGTACTTGGAAATACAACCAATTTTTTTTTGGCTTAACTCATCTGACTTTTTTTCCTAGATTTCAGTATATACTTAATAGGTACCTACTTATACCTGAGTTCAACGACAATTGTTTCCACGTCAACTTATTCTTTTTGGAACTCTTTGAGAGCAGAGTATAAATCCGGATGGTATAGGCCAGTGGCCTCAAACTCTAAATTTTTTTGTGAAACTAAATCTAAAATTTGTATCCAACTACCCACCCACAGCAACTTCCCAGCCATCTAAATTTAAGAAGTGAAGCGATCGATTCACATGATGTATGTGTTCGGCGCCACTGCTTTTGGCTTGTTGCCATATATGTTATAACAACAACCACAACTATAAAACTACTACAACACTACAGTCTACAACAGCATAACAACTCATGGAACAATTGAACGAACAATAAGAATAATAATTATTGTATCCACATGTTGAATGCTTTTTGTATATGTGCCGGTAATAATCATATGTAGGTAATTAGGTTAGTCGGTTCAATTTTCATTTCTGCCAAAATAATATTTTACCAGGTTTTACCTACTCTTATTTTATTTCTATAAGTTTATGATTATATTAATTATTAACAAATTGCACATAATAGGTAGGTATCTATCATGAATAATAATAATTATGGTCACAAATACGATAGATACCTATTACAAACAATGGTAAGTTGTCATATCGTATTCATATAGGTATATTAAATACTGTATTCGTTTTAGTTTAAATAAAATTATGTCTAATAAATTGTGTGTAATACTTTTAAAATAGTATAATAATTATTATCAATTTAGGGAACTCTTCTTAGTTACTGTTACTGTAATTCCATTACGATAAGTTAAAGTTGAATTCAATGATAAATCATTGTATTTAATACTTTAATTAGTTTAATTTAATCATATATTCATATTGTATACGAAAAAGTCTTTGAGTCACTCCTAGTGTCTATTTAAATTACAATTTAAGACACCTCCCTAAAAAAATCCTAGCTACACAATTATTTTACATTATATATTTTATAGATTTTGGAACGACATTAATTAATCTTAGGCTGAGATGACGGGCGTCACCGTTTTCCGCCAAAATCGACCTTTCCGTGTGTCTCTGGTATACGTATAGGTATAATAGTTTATATTTACATTTCCACCACTACAAAGTTTTTGTACTTAGGTAACCCCTTATTTTAAAATAAAATAACAATATGTAGGTATTATAGGTACTTGTAAAAATACTAATTTGTGTAATTTAGTGCCTAACTTCATTATGTAATTTACCTACCAAAATGAACCTACCTAATACTTATTTGATTTATATCACGAATTAAGATATATCTTAAGTATATCCTTATTCGTGATTTATATTTATACATACAAATTATATTAATCAATTTATACTAACTTCATTACGTTACTATGTACTTATAAATATCATTTGTTTTACCTATATAATTTATATTTATTACATATTTATGTGAATACGATATTTAATGTATTATTATATTATGTGTACAATAAAATAGTATTTATTTAGTATAAATATAAGCATCTAGTATTTATAACCATTATGGCATTATGTGAATGTGTTATATATATATGTATATTGTTATTTACAATTTGACACATTAACGAAGTGATACCAGGGAATGTATAAAATAACTAGTTAAAGTATAAATTATATACATTACCTTCAAGTTTTAGTTATTTTATAAATTACCTAGTTATTTCATAAACGAACTGATCCAACACTTTAACTGTAACATATATATTTATTATAATGGATGATACGATATGATAACATCTTTGTTTTTGATAATAACAAAATGATAACGACGGTGGTGGTCTAATCGACTGCGTATAGACAGACCTAAGTAAGGTATATCTTAAACTGTTACATACAAGCGCTAGTGGTGAATTTTTCAGCTTTTTAATAGTGATTTCGGAAGACACTTTTTCATGATTTGTTGGGCCACGGTCTTAGAATGATTGGGCAACCAATAACCATTCTTATGCTCTTGTGTGGTCTTGTTATCAATTCGGCGCGCCATGCGCTTTGGCTGCGGCTCATTCTGTAATCAGCTGCAGCTGTATCGGCTATTCCTGTGAAATTTGATTATCTAAATTGTGATAAGTGAATATTCAATATTGTGATGGTGACTTATAGCAATTTACGAGCGGTATATCTGAATTCTGAGACTCCTCAACATTTTGAAGTGATTTTCAACTGGGGTTGGACGTTTAGGACGAAACTCGTTGGCTAACAACGACGGTAGGATGGATATTTCGATGGAGACATCAGACCAAGAGACAATTCCATTAAAATCAAATAGGTATTTTATTAACATTAAGTTTTGATATAATCATAAAATCTACTTGTTATGGTATATATACTTTATATTATGATTGGATTGCTATTTATAACAAACCTTATCTAGTTAGTTAGTCAAACATGTTATTTAATCAATATTTCATTTACAGGAATGTTAGTGCACCGCCTATTTGTTTTCTTTCTCGGTCACAGCTCACAAGTATATCGAATTTACATTCAGCAGGAGAAATTTTGCATTATTAATTTAGATACTGAATTCACCGCCCCATTTAGAACCAACAATTATAGGAGAACTTTTTTTCTTCATATTCTTCCCCTTAAGAGTAAATTGACCCACAGTAGAACATCAATATTTCCAAACCTCTGTTATATGAACCCCTATTATGCAAACAAATGTCAAATTAAATTTACGTATCCAAACATCAATAAGCATTGTACACGTAATCATGTAGACATGTAGTAATGTAAAATAGATTAATGTAAGTAATATTTCAATGTTAATAATTATAAATTATAAATATCAATATATTATATAATATTATGTATGTTTTTTTGTGATATGTGTGAACTTAATAGTTTTTCCAGTATTTATCCAAACTTGTATGTTTCCAAACTAGGTGAGGTCCCAATTAATTCAAATTTATTGTACATAGATATGCAAGTTATGAGTAGGTGTGTAAAACATTACACATTTTAAAAATTATCTTATATTGTAAAAAAATCTTATATAAAAACATAGATCATGTTCTTAACTTCGTGTTTGATAATAGGTAATAGATAAATTATTCAATCTAATCAATGTTAAATATAAGATAGATTCTACCAGGGGCGGATCCAGAAATTCATCAAGGGGGGGGGGGTAATAAAAATTTATACATCAGATACTATTCACACAAAAATTCAACCGACATTTTTTTTAAAAATAAATTTATAAAATTTAAATATAATAAGCTCAAGGGGACGGGGTATTTACCCTTTTACCCCTCCCTTGGATCCGCCACTGGATTCTGCTGCCTGCCAAACATTAATTTAATGTGTTGCGTTTGGGCCAGAAAGAAAAAATAAATAGTGCCAACCTCTCTTAATGAAATTGTTAAAAAAACAACTATTTTTTTTCATTTCATTTTTGGACTGATTTAGTTTGTTAGTTAAAAATATTATTTCTACCCAATATATTTTTTAAAAAAATAACTAAAAGTTATTTGTGTGAAAAGCTACAAAATTATAACCATTTTGCTTATAATGATTTTTAGATCCCCAGATGAAAACGAAATTGCTTTAACATCTAAAGGTTTAAAATACAAAGGAAAACATGAACCTTACCCAAATTTGATGCAGCTGTATGTATTCAGTTTACCGTATTACTATTTCGTAGTAAAAAAATTGTGTACATTATTATACAATTAAATATTAAAATTAAAAATGAATAATAATACATTTCAGAGACGACTGTACAATGGATGTATCACTGGTAGTTAATAACCAAAAATTAAATGCCCACAAAAATGTATTAGCTTCAAATAGTGACTATTTTGATAGAATGTTTGACAGTTATTTCAAAGAACGGTTTCAAGATAAAATAGAAATTAATATAACTGATGTTAGCTTTGAAATTTTAAGTACACTTGTTCAATATTTTTACACATCAGAAATATATATCACAGAAAATAATGTCCAGGTAATATTTATTATATATGTAGTGTCATTATTTGTTTTTCGCTTAACATTTCATCATACTAAATTTTTTTTTTTTTATTGATCTAAAGCCTGGCAACTATGGCCATTAGCTGTTTGTAGGGGGAAACTGTTGATTTGTAACACGTGTTTGTATGTGTGGCAAGGATGTGTTGCTATAAATCCGGGTGGTCATTCATCCAAGTGCTAGCAACAATGGCCGGTACGTACGCTCAGAGCTTTGCCCAGATTGAGCGTACGACCGCGCCTCACCAAGCCACCATACTAACATTATAATATATTATGCTCTGATAACAGGAGAAGTAAACCATGCCAAGACCAAATCATATCTAAGTTTGCACATCCTTGTCCTGCACAACTTAATTCAACGACCAATGAGCGGTTAATTATCGACCTGTCAGGTCACAATGTTGACAATAGTCAAAAATTTAGTATGTGTACATATATACTACACTGAAGTGGGGGAGACAATGCCTCGGGATAATCACTGAAGTCGGTCTGCATTTGCAAAATGGTTTACTTCTCTCTCGGAGGTGGGAGTGTGGTTTAAAATGTCCAATTTTTTTTTATTTCAGGATCTGTTGATTAGTTCCAGTATATTTTTACTTGATGACGTCCAAAATGCATGTGTAAACTACATAAAAAAGATAATTGATGCCGAAAATTGCTTAAATATGAAAGATTTTGCCAATACTCTCGGATTAAATGATCTTTATTCTATGTGCATGACTTATATAATAAATAATTTCAGGTAATTTTTATAACTATACCAAGTTCTAAAATAAATTTTAATTAAAAAAAAATTAAATAATACAAGTCAGTCAATTTGTTTGGCGTTAGTTCTTGAACGGTTAATTATTTCTTATTATTCGTTCATCATAAGTGATAAGTTCACAATTACATGAACCCCTATTTATTATTTTCTTTAAATAACTTTAAGGCAGTGTTTAGTTACCTTTTATGGATGTATTTGGTTGATGGTAGGGGAATACATGACACAAGGTGTGTATTCTCATCAATTTTTTTTTGTAAATCACCAAAAAATAATTTATATATAAATAAAAAGTAAATTAATATAGAAAGTAAAGTTAATATAGAAATTAAATTTAAATTAAATTAAAAGTTATAATGCTTTTTCATAAGATATGAGAGATGAGCTGGCTCATAACTATAGTCTATTATAATGATCATAAAATTATTTAATATTTTTCTGCCCATAAATTAAAAAACATGTATATATTCCACTTTCCAAATGTATCAAATATGCACGACAATTGCAAGTTTTCAATATACCTATGTAATTTTTTGTGTTTTAAAAAAATTGATTAAACTTCAAAGTTTTCTTACTGAGCAATATTTTAGATTATTATAAAAAATTATGCACTACAATAAATCATGAGCACCAACTATATCGAGCATATTGTGATCTTATAATTATTGATTTTAAAAAAGGACTGCAGACAATAACAGTAATTAAAAACTGAAATAAAGTGCTTTAAACTTATTCTTATTTTACAAATTCAGTTATAATAAACATTGTTTGATCAGTGATTATTGATTACTAATAGCTTTTTATTGAAAATAGTTGCTAACTCATAATTAATACAATAAAATATTAGTTTCTACACAGTCAAATTAATTGAAAATAAATAAACTTATATTATTAATTATTTTTAGACTTGTAGCTAACACTAAAGACTTTATGAAGACTAATTATGATGAATTAATGCTATTAATCAAGAACGATGATTTGTTTGCTAAAGAAGACATGGTATAGTTTTTTGTTTTAATTAGGTTATTGAATAGTTGTGAATCTATATTATTTTTAAAGGTTTATGACGTTGTTATGAATTGGATAAAATATGATCCAGTTACCAGATCAAAATATTCTTCAGAATTATTATGGTACGTCCGGTTGCCATTAGTTTTAAATACTTATCAAGGAGTCATAAAGGTTCATGAGTATCCAGGTGCTAAAATAAATGAACTAAGTTCTTTTCGAATGGAGCATCGAAGGCCGTTTAGAAAAGTTAGTAGTGCCTAATATTATTATTTATAAATATTAATAATTATTGTTTATATTCTAAAATTTTTGAAAAAATAAACAAGTTACCTTCAAATTAAAAACAAACATTTTAGATTTTAGTATACATTAATTGGCTCTTTCTTATAGGGCATATTAGTGTTAAGTCATTATCCATTTGAATCAACTCCAGAGTGGTATGATGCTGCGTTAGATCAATGGCAGAATTGCATGTGTGAAAATTGTCTGTGTAAAACCTTTCAATATCGCTTATTACCACCTAAAACTTTATCTACAGTTATTTTACTCGATGATAGTCGCTTATTTTCTGCTGGAGGTTCTAGATATGGCATTGGAATGAAATCAGCATATCTATTCGATCTTAAAACAAACAAATGGATATCCTTGATGGACATGCATTTTGAACGTCTTAAACCATTCATAGTGCAACTTGGATCTTATGTTTATGTGGTAAAATCTTATTTATTTACTACAGTGGATTCCGCTTAATGTGGGCACGTTGGGACCAGCCCCGTTTGCCCACATTAAGCGATTGCCCATAAATTAGTTATAAAAAAAAAAAAATTATAGTAAAAAAAGTTTTTATTTGTATTATCATATGTCATTGAAAAAATGTTAAATAATTACTAGGTATACAAATAAAACTAAATATCTATAATATACTAAGTAAAATTAACCTTTGGATGTAGGAGGTATACTTTCGATAAACACAATCTCATAGATATTCAACATCAACAGGCTAAGAATAGGTCAGACCAGAATAACTCATGGTTACCAAATATCCCGAGATGAGCCCCCCTCATATATGGCGTGCGGGGTCGAACTCGCAATAAAACACATCCTCACGGAATGTTTTGCATACCTTGATGCAAGGAACCGCAACTTTTATCCGGTGACTTATATGACGTACTTGGACCAGTCTTACCATCACCTAACACATTCGTGTTCCTCCAGGTGACAGGATTGAACAAACTCATTTAACCTTCTGAACAACACAACTTTAAAATTGAAACTCTTATTATTTAGTCTAGACATTTGTTATTATTAAACCTTTTATATTATTATGTCACACTTATTTGTAAAAAAAAAAAAATGTATCTTACCCAATGGCCTAGTTGCCGAGAGTGAAAAAAAATTTCATTCATGCGACAAAACCCGATTAATTTAGTCCTTTTTAAATACATAATACATATGTGTATATTCTAACGCTATGATAAAATAAAACTGCCCACATAAACCGAATCTAGTGTCCATATTACGCGGTTTTATTTAACATTGTTAATATACATTTGTATTGGGACCAGACATGTTTGCCCACAATAAGCGGATGCCCATATTAACCGATGGCCACATTAAGCGGAATCTACTGTATTCATAATATCTATTTGTCAGTTCCTCTATTATAATGTGATAATCTGGTTGATTTATAAAAAAAAACAATGAAATATGATGCATGTATAATTTGTTATTAGATTGGTGGTTGCACCAGTGAAAAACAAGATGCCAGTGCTATAGAATGTTTTGATTTACAGAGAAAAGAATGGTCTGTCATAAATTGTGAAATAAACCTAGTTAAGACATTTAAAAATAATAATTATGTTGCCTGCGTTAAAGGATTAATTTACATAGTAAGTTGTTTTTTTTTAATCTTTTGAAAACAATACATATACAAAATATACAGATAGTTTATCATGATTATAAAGGTGCAGTGTAAAATAGTTGTCGTCTTCTTGCACACATAGAGTATAAAACTGCATTCCATACTTAATGAATACAATCAGTTAAAATGTTAACTGTAGTTAAAATTTAAGTGCATAGACCATGATAAGAATGTTGGTTCGATGTCACACACACATAAATTGCTTATGAAAACTGTTTTACAAAAAAAAAAACAACCACTTGGATGACTGTAACAGTCATCGCTAGTAAAAAACACAAGTATAATTTTTTTCTTAGTCTTGCACATATGTAATTTAAATCAAACCTTTTCAAATTTCACTCATTGTGATTACATTGTTTTTTTTATATATATATACACAAAATAAGTAATCAGAATAATGCTTAAAAAGTTGATACCTTAGAAAGGTAAAAATTCCCAAGAGTTTTAAAAGCATTAGGGGGAAAAAAAGAAGGAAAATGGGGATTTCTACTCAAAACCAGTTTTTAACAAAATTTATTTAGTTTGTTTTGTGTAACTAAACAACTAATATACATAAATCCTTAACATTTTGACCAAATGTTTATTTTACTATTTTTGAGATATTTATTGACATAAGAAAATTTGGATTTAATTTTTTTTTAAATAACTGTAGATAAAAAAGTGTTTACTGCTCAAATTAATTGAAAATGAAGTATAAGATCCTCATAAGCTGTTGTTAATAAAAATTTTAAAAAATTTCAGTGGAAATTCATTTAGATTTTTAATACAGGGTGTCCCGTGAGGTATTACTCATTGCAATATCTCCTGAAATAATGTAGATATCATAATTCTGGTTTTTTATTTAGACTCACAAAGATGCGTGCCACAAATAATTCATGTTTAAATTTGTTTTATGTAAAAAGTTAAAAAATATATATTTTTATTAATTATTTAAAAAAAAATTGAAGATAGCCATTTTGTAATTTGTTTTTCTGAAAATATTGACGTTTCAACATTTTAATTTTATTAATCTCCTGGTTTTTAATACATTTTTTAGTTAATAGGTAAAACAGCTCAAAAAACCGGTTTTTGTACGGGCGGCGAGTCTCCCTCTACCGCTAATGGGTATATCCTCACGGAACACCCTGTATAGTTAATAATTTAAAAAAATGTAGGTATTAACTTCTTTAAAAATCTCGATGTTAGAAAAACTTTTATGTTATAAAAACAAGTTTAAATTATCAGTTATTAATACCCTATTTTCAACTAAGGAATCACGATTCAAGAAGTATAGAAAGCGGTTCTGACTTCAAATTATATTACATGTATGCATGGTAAAAACAACAGTTTTTCTATTATGTTTTATTAATGTTTTTTAGTATTTTAGTTTTGATCGCCTTCCAAATTGGCCAAATTTAATAATTCAAAATAATGAAGAATGTTTCACTTTTAATTTAGATTGGAATGAATGAAGCTGGATATTATGACGCTCGTAATCACAAGTGGAAATATATTGATCCAATACCTGAGTTTAATAAAGGTTCTGCAGTTTGCACATTAAATGGCAATATCTATATAATCGGTGGTCAGCGCATGGAAAATTGTTACAAAAGTGTATGGGCATACTGTACGCTAACTGAAGAATGGGTTTCCTTATCCGAACTCAATTACGCTAGATCGTTTTCTGGTAAAATTTAAAAACCTAACGATTAAAAATGTTTGATATCTTAATTATAAATTTTTATTTATAGGTGCTGTAGCAATGAATGGTAATATTTATTTATTTGGAGGAAAAATGATAAACACGGCATATTCAAATACATTTGAAATATATGATCCTCACAACAACAAATGGATAACTTCAAATGCTTATATGAAAAAGGATCGATGTCACATTGATGCGATTGTTATTGAAAAAAATTCCGAATTGTTTAAAAAAGTGTTTGAAGAAGGGAATAATGCTATTATTCATTAAAATTGACTGTGAGTTTAAACTCAATTTATTTTAATAAAACTATAATTATTTAGTATTATTTAGTGAGGAGTGTATAGGTTGTAGGTATTATTAATAATTGTTAAATTACTATTATTTTAGAGAAGAAAGAAAGATTCCTTAATATTAAAATATTATCCTAAATATTGTTTATAGGTAAATTAATTATTTTATATTTATAATGTTTTAACCATTCCTTTATTAAATGTATAATAACATTTTAATTTAAATCCTTACTGTGTAAACTTTAAACTATCATAAGAATTTTTAATTTTAAATATATTATTTAATAATTGTTATACTATTCTTTTCGGAGGTTTGTGAAATAGTCACAAATCAAAATGCTTCTTAATGTAAATTGTATATGAATCGCTTATTTCAAATATATAATTATTATTGTACAATGAAAACAATCATAGTATATCTCTGTAATCTACATCCTCTGTAAATTGATATTTAGTAAATTAGATTCCAACAAGGGAGATATTAGTAAAATGCTTTGATTATAATTATAGTCTATTGCGGAACCGGGACATGTAAAAATATTTTAAATAATAAAAAAAAAGAAATACATAATTATTGATTGATTTTAAAAAATAATTATTGTATTATTAATAATTATTACTGATGAAACAGTTAGTAAAAATACTTTAATTGTGTTATATTTTAATTAATACATATATATATATATAAATTGTATTTTGCTTAAGATATTTTTTAAATTAAGTTTCCTATAGCATAAGAGTTTGTACATAATTGTATTGTCTAAACATTTTTTTTAAATTAAATATTCATTATATTTTGTGTTTTCAATACAATTACTTAGATTTAAGTATTTAAGAATACTGAATAAGTGATTCATACTTGGGCATTGTACACAGAAGCAACTACATTATTAGTCAGACCCAAACTTTTAATAGGTATTTATGGTTTTTTTTTATTGTTAATTTTTCTAAACAGTCTTCATATGTTTTTAGTATGCAATTTATAATTCATTAAACTATGGTATGATACAACTTACAAATTATGAATATTAGAATATATAATCATTTGTAAATAATAATTCCACAGACATTACGGTTAATTCTTTTTATATACAAGCCTACAACAATAATTTTATACTTTATTTAATACATTTTTATCTTAACTGAATAAGTGTTTAAGCAGTATATTTATTTTATAATTCCAAGTATAACATTATATACCTACTTAGTATATTTTATAGTTTAGATATTGTCGTCCTAAATTGTACCTGTACAAATGTATCTCATAAGTATTCTTATATTAATTTTGAATATTTAATTTATGATAGTTTAAATGTATTTGCATTGCATATTTTTATTTTGTTCATAATATAATACATTTCCGTTGTAAACCCAATGGCCCATGTCGCCGAGGGAATTGTATCAATAATAATAAAAAAAAAAAATACATTTCCAATGTTTCTAAACTTAGTTTTAATTGACATATAATAGATAGTACCTATGTAATTAGTTACCTGTGTCTTTAGTATTTTTAACAGCTATTATTATTGTAATTTTTTTGTGATTGAATAAATTATACATTTTTTGTTTGAACCCCCAAATTCTTGAGTCAGTGGTGGTTTTAAGGAGGGGGGAAGTGGATCGCCTTTGATTATAAAAATGTGTAAATACATAGTAACTCTAATAGCTGCTATTATGGTCATCAAAACGTAAAACAATAATTATTAATAAAAGTTATTTCATGATGGCTCAAACTTCCTACGGGTAACGACTGGTATACTTGGCCAATATTCATTAATTATTAGTCTCTGGTGGGCTTCTCAATGGTTATTGGTAATTGTGGCACGTGTAAAAAATATGGCCACTATAACAATGAATAGACAGTAGGTATTAATTCAGACCAATTAGGACTCTATATGGTTGTCCAGATTAAACCGAATAACCCATAAAATATGCTAAGGTACATATTTTAATACTTAATTAATGTTCTGTAAAAAACATGTATTATACATTTAAGATATACAAATGTTTTCCTATAAGATAATGCAACACAGTATTTGGCCCTACAAAATAACTACCTACCTAGTTATTAGATTATTTTTCTCAAAATACTTATATCTTAAATATCTTAAAAATGGCTGACGGGATAAATAAGGTTTTACTGTAGTGCCTACTTAATATCTATCAATCGTTAAAACACAAATTCCTGGCCTATTTTAACATTGGTATAATGGTATATATGGAAAGTACACTAATCATTGGAGATCAGAATAGTAATGCTCATAAAATTGCTTCTCAATTCTCATGTATTTAAAAAAGAATAAAAGTGAGATGTTTACTTATGTAATTGCAAAATATATTCACCACCCCACTGAAATTTAACAAGAACCATCTCTGACTTTAGTGAGATTTACTGATAGTAAAGATTTGCAATCATTTTTAAATACTTGTACATTTTATATTATGATGTTGTGTTTGTTGTATGCATGGAACCTATCTACTGAATCTGTTTACCTGTAGTTGAATTACAATGAACCAAATTTTTGATTAGTATCAATGATAAAGCAATTATTAGTAACTATTTTGTATAAGAATTAGAAATGGATCAAACTCAAAACTATGTTCTCAAACCGAACCTTTAAATAGTAGCCTACAATTCTGTGCAATAACAACGAACTCAAACTGAATGTTATTTTCAACTTCTAACATCGAAGTGAAAACCAATACCGAACCAAGCTTTTGAATTAAATTACGAATCAAACTTTTTAGTTGTATGTCAAACCGAATTATAAAATATTAAAAAAAATGTTTATCTTTATTTGAAACGTTTGATAATATATGTTCCAATTTTTTTTTTTTTGTAGTTCGTATATTTCTATGGAGTCCAGACTTAAAGTTTTGATTTTGAACTGTTCTACCCGCCTCTTACAAAAATAGATGGGTGTTTACCAGTTGCCCCCCAAGGTTATTATCGCAATTTTAAAAAATATTCCAGTTGCCCCCAATCGAATGTACCAGTTGCCCTCACGTGTTAATATATACACAATACAATATATAGCTCGTAAAATAGGGGAGGTAAATATACAAATCATAAATAAAATATAAAATTCAAAATTATAATAATTTGTCAACATAACATGTCATTTTAGATGCGTCCGAGTGGATATAATCATCGAAAACGTATGAATTGCTATTTATTATGTTAAAAGAAAAATGCTCTGGCTTTGAACTTGAATTCAATCCGTCAATTATTGTATCCGATAAAATAAATATAAAAACAATAATATTAGCAGATTAGATTTTGTAAGATCGGTTAGTAATTATTATAACAAAACATAATACTTTTGAATTTTATACTATTTATATGCTGACAAATTATTATATTTTGATTTTGTACTATTTTATATTAACAAATTATTATTTTAATTTTTAATTTTATATTTTATTTATGATTTGTATATTTACCTCCCCTATTTTACGAGCTATTTATTGTAATTGTGTATATATTAACATATATGAGGGCAATTGGTACATTTGGTTGAGGACAACTGGTAATTTTTCCTCTAGGTAGTTTGGGGGGATTTGGTATAAAAAAAATGTACTTTTGGGGGCAACTGGTACATGCCCAAATAGATTTGGGTTGATTTGAGTATTGAGTTATAAGGTTTTCTTAAATAAAAACTTTTATAGTCAGAATCTCAATTTCCGATTAAAAGTGATAGTGATGATATACTAATATGCGTATTTTGTGAAACTGATAAAAGTTAAAAAAATTAAAATAGAATTAAGTTGAAGAAATCTAAACATAGCGGTAATCAAGGTTTTTTTTTTACTGTACTTAATCCAACAAATGTTTGTTTTTAAATAGTCTAATACATTGTTTCTCACTTTCTCAAACAAATTTGATTGTCAATCCTGTAATAGCCATCGTTAGTGAGGCCAAATAAAAAAAAAGTTTTTCACATATCGCCTCAATGGGAAACAAAAATCAATTTTAATTTATTAAAATAGGTAGTTTATAAAAATAAGATTTTGTTGACTAAAATGTATACGTAGATTTTGTGTTTAATTGAATTAACTGTCGTGTTATCAAATTACATAAATGTATTTTAATTATTTACCTAGTTACTATAGCCAAGTATAATCCTTATAGTTATAATAAATGTATTGAAAAATATGTTCAAGGCCCTTCTAATTGTGCCTAAACGGAGAGACCTTTTCTTATTTATCCTACCAAGTAATGTGCTCCAGGTCGTCACTGATGTTGACACATTTTTTAATTATTCTTAATCATTAAATACTAAATTAACATTTCCACACATATATAATATAATTATAGTCTTGTAGTTAATAAGCAAATAATAAACACATCAAAATATCAAATTATTATTAAAAATAAACAAAATTATTAAGAGGACTCTACGCTTGTAAATTTTAAAGAACATTCCTCTTTTTAATATAAAAATATAAAAAAGCTTATGAGATTCACTAGGTATTATATACTTACCACTATTATATATTCTTACTTTAAAGTTTGATAATATGTCAATTCACTCTAATATTAACCATAACTGAGTTAAATGGAAGTTCAGAATGTATATTTTTTTATGTAGGTACTATTTTAAGACCGTGTCCCTCTTAAGTGAATTGACGACCGTTAGTTATTTCTACCAAAACACACCAATACGTTGACAATCCATACCGATGGACTTAAAAAATTCAAAAAACTTTACAAAAACTTAAAAACTAAAAAACTTTAGAAATCGGATTTGAATTAGTTATTTCGTATGTCTACGTTATAAGATTGATCAGGATTCAGGAAATTTTCAAATTTCGTTCCCTAACTCTTATAAATTTGGTTAGAATATTTAAAATTTATGAGATTTTACAAATTGATTATTCGGATTCAAAATTAAAAATCTTAAAATGTGGCATGATTGATAGATACAGAAGACAGATGCCTACAACACGATTCCGCAAGTTTGCGGCATCGTTCTCCACCGAGACAGATGGGACAAATACTTGAGACCGGTTGACTTGCTGTAGGTATACCTCCGAAAATGGACGCGAGTGGGGACAAATTGACTTGCAGCAACCCTGCCTGGGGTGGGCACTTGAACTGCCTGCACACGAGAACAATTGCATTTGAAACTGGTCGACTAGCTAGTAGCTACGCTGCGGCCTGCGAGGCTTGGTCACTTATTGGATTGCCTTGTGTTGGCGTAAACCCACGAAAACAGGTTTATTGTACAATATTATGTTCCAAAAGTGTATTAAATTAGATTTTCTGATTTTCATTTACCGAAGTTTTGTCACTGGTTTAACACTTTCGTCGTTACTCGTTAGACGTTATCGCCATATATCATTTTCATTTTTTATTCAATTCTACCATGTATTTTTCAAAAGTTTTTTTCGTGTTTTTCACTATGTGCTGGAACTATAAATGCTTAGATTTTCAACTTCGAAGGTGGTATCTGGCAGAAAATTCAATCTAGTTGGAAATTTAGCAGTCAAAAGAAAAAAATTCTCTTTATGAAATATTTCTATAAAAAAAATCGGCCAGAGCCATTTTCCTTCGAAAATTAATTATGAGTAAAAATAAAATAAATATCAAAAATATATTTTTAAGTCATACTATAATTAATTCAATAATGAATTAAGTATATAAATAGGTAATGTTTATGTTCAATACAAATACAATAGTTATAGGTATTAAAGTAGTTATTACAAATAAAAACAAAATTAGTGAATCATTAACTATAAGCAGTGGTCGAAGTGGGGGGGATACGGAGGGATGACATCCCTCTACTTTTTTGTATTTACATTTTTCATCTCTCTACTTATTTTGTCTAGAGTAACGCATTCCTTCTAAGACTTGTGTTTTAAAATGAAATAATTATTATGATTTTTATATTTATACCGATGTATAAGGAAACTTTTTATTTTTCGTACAGGCCTAAATCTGAATTGTAAGGTACCCCTCCACTTATCTTGAGCCATTTCGACCACTGACTATAAGGTACTTATATTTTTAGAATTATTCGATATTTTTGAGAGTGAAGAACTGTAGTCATATGTGGTAGCCAGATGCAAATGTGTAAAAAAGTTGTCTGTTGTTACATTTCGTCCTACAGAACCTTTAAACGTAGCAACTAAGTCTAGAACTGTGTGTTCACCTATATTTACTTGACGTTCACCATCTTGCGGCTTACCACTTACCGGTGTAGGTACAATATATTACGTAAATAATATAATACCATAAACTTACGACAACGAAATAATTACCTGACTATTTATATTTATATGAGATAATTGATGAATATTTTATGACAAAATAATTTGTAACCTACATGTATTCTTGTCTGTGCGAACAAATAAATTAGCTACACAACATTAGATTGATGGTTTACTCGTTGATTTTAATTAAATAAGTCAGGGTTGTGAAAAGACTACGTACTTATGTGAAGTTGACCCACCAACTATTTGGGTATCAAATATTCAAATATCAAAACTTTATTAATACTTAAAACCAGTGATTTGCGATAAATCGTGAGTCCGTAGCCATATGTATAGGTGATATATTAGTGTGTGTTTACAGGTAAATTGGTGCAAACATTTAAACTGCTGTAGTTTTTCTTAAAATTTTACTACGAATTGCCGAGTGTACCTTCTTAAATTGCATTATTTTTATTCGAATTAGTGCAAGATTTTCAAAGGAACGAGCAAATTTTTACATCGAATTATCCGGAGCCGACTATACAAAGTATAAAGTGTAACCATTTTCCCCCAAAGCTACGGGCAAAAGACAATAACAGCAGAATAATTTATTTCATATATTGTTATTGTAATTTGTACCCACTCATTTTTTTATTGTTTACATTTTATGTTTGAGCATACTTACACACCAATACTTAAAAAATATACACTGATAATAAACATCTTACATCTGTATCATTTCTGAATACATGACGTACCTACACTTAGATTATAAATTATACAAGGACGTACAAGAATAAGATGCAACCTGTACATTTATATTTAGGCTTTGTGAGTTAATGTTATACTTGGTATAGGTGCTGAACTCGTTCAAATGTAATCGTGGACTGTGGTAAAATAAACAACACTTTTGATTTTTGGTATCATTAAAATAACAATTGTTAATAATAATTGTATACAAAAACATAAAAGGGCTTAAACCAAAAGGAAAACCTAATAAGCCATTATTCCAAACTTCGGTTTAAAATTAAGTTAAAGAATTTTTCAAGTATGTTGAATTGATATCAATCACCTATATACAATATATGTAGTTAAAATAGTAAAAATAAAATTAAGCTATTGAAATGATGACAATTTGGCAATTAATGTTTTTTTTGTATTTTATTGCAATTCAACAATTGTTGTTTTTATTCAAATATTAATACATGGTTTCTCCAACAGATCGAATTGTCAATTCACAAACCTAATAAACGGGGAAACAAAAATCAATTTTAATTAATTAGGTAATATAATAGTTTTTAAAAATTAGATTTTGTTCATTAAAATTCAGAGCCGTGCCAAGGGGGTAGCAAATATTGTAACATTTTAAAGAGCGGCAAATGTTTAAATATGTGTGCTTAATAGGGATACCAAATATTATTGTCCTGGGGTGCCAATGAAAGTTAGCACGGCACTGAACCACTGTTAAAATGTAGGCATATATTTACTTGAACATTCGGCGGTGTTCCTAAAATGTAAAGTGTGGCATTAGCAATATCTTGAGTTTCTAGATATGTCATATCAGGGATTGATTTTAACTGTTGTTCTGTTGACTCTTTAATAGTCACTCCTGGACTTAAACTCTAAAATAAACCATTAAGTTGGTCATTAGCAAAACGGCACACAATTTGTTTACTAAAAAAAATAAAAGATTATTAACTTGGTTTGCATACCGTTATTTTAATTTTACTCCCCTCGTTAACCAACATCCTTCTAATACTATCAGTTGTTAATGTTATACAATGTTTGCTGGCGTTATGAATAAGTGCTTTTATTGGTTCAGCTCTATAATGGCCTGCCACGCTAAATCATAAATTGATTTAAATTCAATATTTTTTGTAAAAATTAAATATGTATTTTTAAATTTTATTTACCACCTAATTAAACCAATCACTATTTCATTATTTTTTTATGGTATTGAGCAATAAATGTATATTATACTAAAATACTAAACTATACATTTTCTACCCGGGCATTTTATTTTTAGCCTATAGTCGCAACTAGGTGGATCCGCAGAGGCTAGTGATTAGTAATTAGCCGGGGAGGGGGGCAAATAACTTAATTAGTTATGTATTTTTACTAGTGAATTAATGTTTGTATAATGCGACAAATAAAAAAATTGGTTTTGGACATGCATGACACAAGAACGAATTTCCAACTTATATCAGAATTCTGTCATTATTAAAAATTGTGGGCATGGAAATAAAGTTATTTGTATCGTAAGATTTTTTTTAGGTAATCTCAGTACTCGCACCTTCGAAAGTTCGAAATGCAGTGTCTAGTAGTGATGCCTATGGACTATGGTTTAACGTATAACTTATAAGTTTTAAATATGCTAATAAATATCTATTGAATGAAATTGTTATTTAGACAAAATTTAATAACACTAATAACTTATAAGCCCAAACCATTTACCTATTTATATTGATAATGTGTCCATTGTCAATACCCTTCAGTTTCATCTCGTTTATCACTTCTTTAGTGAAAATACATCCTGCCAAATAATTTGTCTCCATGATCATTTTTCCGTGGTCCATCGATTCATCTGAAATCGTTTGCTCGATATTCAACCAACATTTAAATGATTTAAGCCTTAAGAACCAATGCATGGCCATAAGCCACTATTCCTTATATTAGTATTATAGTATTATACAATCAATGATATTGTATACATTATATCTTCATGAACGACATGAACATTTTATAAATTGCAGCCAGTTGTTTCCTACTTACTATTATATGATCAAAAGAATACTTTTGGCGGAAAACCTAACCAGACTGTGCAGAGGAACATAAAGTATTTCCATGTGAGTGACCAAAGAGACGGTATGTTTCCCCGCTCAAATCATGTTTCGTATACATTCATAGACGGAAATCCATTAAAATATCAGGGGAGGCTGAACGTGAACGTGAATGTGAACGTGAACGAATTCATTTTTTAGTGAACGTCCCGAACACTTGTACTTATGGACTATATACTCTGATTGCGAATTAGCACTAAAACTAATTATGAACCACTTTTGGCTTTTTTTATACTAAGCCCCTCGACGTACCTATATTATGCTATAAATACAATGTTTACTGCCTACATAAAATATCTGCTGTTTAATAGACATTAATGATAATAATGGTAATTTAATATGCTTTTAAATATTAGTATATTACCAACTAATTCCGTTTCATCATAGACTCCAGCATTGTTAATCAGCACGTCGATACTTCCACAAGTGGTTACGGTCCACTGAATGCATTCGGTTATGTGTTTCTCATTTCTGATATCAAATGATTTGTAATAAAACTTCCCTCGATAACTATCGACTTCTTCGCTTAGTTTCTACGAAAAACGTCGGGCGATAAAAAAAACAATTTTAAGGTACTCATTACAATATATATAACCTAACCTATGGGTCTTACACCAATTAATTTAGCAAATAAGTAAATAACTAATAAATAATATCATACATTTAGGGTAAGCCCCTCAAATATCTTACAATCTTTTCTTCATATAAAATATTTACCCATACATTTTTTTTTTACTTTTTCACGTTTGACGAGTATTAATATTTTACGTATACATATAGTAATATCAAATATGTATAGTATAAGTATAATATTGCCATATTGTAACGATTTTTATTATGTACCTACTAAACACTTATGTAACAATAATAATTATCATTTACATCACATGATCCTATTTTAATATATTTTTAGAATTCAGAGTTTTGATTTTTGGTAAACTCATATCATATTGGAAATAAGTAGGTACCTAGTTTTGTTTTATTAAAAGTAATCAATGAACATTTTGCATTTTTTGCCGTTATAGAAATATTTTATTTGATCCCTCATTCGTCATTACTCATTATTTATTAATTATTATCAATATTAAGTATTAACCGTCATTTATATTAAAACTATCGACTAATTTATTCACATAAAAAATATTGAATTTCATGAGTGATCGATACCTACTCAATAGGTATTAATTATTATCTATTTAGTCAACGAATTTGCCAATCAAATGATTTTCACGTTTGAAGTATCAGTTATCGTAATATACTAAATAATCGATAGAATAGGTACAAAAATACAAATTTAATATTATTGTATTATTTAGTAGGTAGTGCACTAGTGCTCATCTCATTTCTATCGTATCACACTAACATGTGTGTTTTGTTAGACAACACGTCTCCACTCTTATAACTTCGTATAACATACCGTCTACCAAATGTACTTTCAACAGTTCAATTTTGCGTTGTTAACTTTAATAATAGAGCGGCTTATTATCAAACTTTAAAATAATACTATACTATATCTGTATTCTCTGGTTTACATTATTTAAATTTTAAGTGAGTTTTAAGCATTTTTAAGTATTAATTTTACACTCTATAAAATGTATAGGTACCTATTTAATAGTATACAATTTAAATATCATTAAAAATAAAAATTGATGATCAAATTTTAAAAATAAATGATTTATTTTTGCTCTAATATTAAACACAAAATTAGAACTGCCGGACTCAAATATTTGAAGGTATGTTGTCCGTTTGTTATGAATCACGGAGACAACTTATGCGGGTGTAAGTGGCCAAGTGGGTGAACGTCCTTTTATGTATTTCATATTATTTACCTTCAAGAGATCTTCTCGTCTGGCAATACCGACGACAATCATGCCGCTTTTCAGCAGAGCTACAGCAATCGCTTTTCCTATGCCGCTACTCGCCCCGGTCACGATGGCTACTCTATCCCTCCACCTTTCCATGACGGCGAAAACGGTTATTGCCCAAATACTGAAACAACTATGTCAATATCGCTATGTATACCGAGGTACAGTGGCGTAGCCAGGATTTTGAAAGGCGGGGGGAGGTTAAGTATAAATTAATCCAAGTTTTTTACAATTTTAGTGTAAAAATAAAACAATTATTAGAGGGGAAATCAGGGTTGGCACGAAAATGCTCAGTCCAAAAAAAACCCGGGCTGTTTTTCTGGGTGAAACCAACTCGTTATTTTGAAAAAACCGGGTCCACTTTTCTAGGCAAAATAGAAATTCACAGTTTTTCTTTTGTTGACTTGTGTTGATTTTCAGAAAAATTTAAGTTATAAGTAATTATTTATTTTTAAAAATAAACTTTGATTAGATAAAAATGTAATAATTATGTTTTAAATTTAGGTAGGTACAAGTAAAAGTATAATATAATGAAAAAAATTACACGCTCATGCATTTTTTTTTTGACCATAGTCAATAAACAATGTTAACACATTTTTTATTTTCAATAAGGTATTAGGTAATTTCCCAGTAAATACTTAGTGAATAATTTTACAAAATACAAAAATACTTGGTAATAGGTTGGTCTAAAGGTTAAATAAATATATGGTTATAGTTGATAGGTAGCATAATTAAAAAGAGCCATCCTCAAATTCTCTCTAAGGGTTTTTTATATTTAGAAATCGGTGGATTTTTACAAATTTGAATGCCACTAACGTCAACAACAATTAACAACAATTATTGAGAAATAGTTGGAATGTCAATAAATTATATACTAATATACTATCTATAGTTTTTGGTGTTGCTACTGGCTGGTATAGAGATAAGGTGATAAGGAAAACTCAAAAAACACTGCAGCTAATACATGAGAAAAATGTCTGATTACACCGCCTATTATTACTTATACAATAAAACCCACCCAGTTTTTGAGTTTTTTTCTTGATGTTCTTTTTCTATAAATCTCGGGTTTAAACACCCAAAACCTCTTCCTGTCAATTCTACTCCCTAGGTATTATATTAGTAAGTATCTTACCTGACTTTTTAGACTTCGACTCGTCTATATAAGATATTATGCGTATCCAGTCATCCATATAGGTAAGTACAAACTAGGTAGGTTCAAAATACACTCAATAATTAGTTAACGTATTAATATTATTATGCATACCACGGTTCACGAACAAAAAAGAACAGATAATCGTTGAGATTTGTGTTACCACTACTAAAATATAATACCTACTTATCTTGTTTGAAGATTGCTTTTCTAGGTCAACTCTAGTGGTCAGTATAAAATATAGGTTACTAGGTAGGAAGGTATGCACCATGCGTCCATTCCCTTCCTATTTTCCTAGTTAGCTGCACGCAGCTACAGCTTACTAATAAATCCTTGAATCAGCTACAGTCGGGAATCGTGGTAGGAGGCATTCCGCATGCTTACCAATATTATGTTTCGTTGTATAATAATATCACAGATTATATAACACCAGTTGGTGCTATATTCTGCTTTGGAATATCAAGTTAAAACTGTATATTGTCATCCACAAAAGTAAAAAACTTAAAACATTATTTAAACATTTATTAGTAGTTAAATTATAATATCAGTGATATGATTAATCTGAATTATCAATTCACAGATCATTTTCCAACAGTAACATTTAAATGTTACGTAACTACATATTTAAGTGATATGTATAGATAAAATAGTTAATATGACGTTTACTGATATTTAATAATTTAACTAATAAGTAAGTGCCAGTTGGTCTGTAACTTTGTAAGTAGGTACTAAATGTATGATAAGCCAGCATAATATTTTTAATTTAACTAGATAATTTACTATACCTAACTATTGGTACTCATTGGTGCATTAAATCAAATACCTAACATAGCCTACTATCTGTATGTAAATTTGATATTTACAATCTATAAAATAAAATGACTAATTATAAATAAGTACTTACGAAAATTATAAAATTAACAAGTCTGTTATTATTTAATAAATTATAATTCATATTATGGAGGGCAAAGAATATTTTTTTCGTTTATTTAAATGGTTGCCACTGGTTACAAATATATTTTAAAAATGATAATTTTGGGCTTAATATTTTTCCATTACAAAAATAAAAGATGCCTGAGTCACAACTTTCTCAACGTCTATGCCCTAAGACGACGAAGGCCAAAAGAGTCTTTTGAAGAGTCTTCCACTGAGAATGTAAGCCGTCTTTCAATTCTGAGACAGTTCGCATCGCTACGCTAGAAAATCTACCGCGGAACTCCATAATAAAATGAAAATATGCTGTCCTGAAGTCGCTAAGGAAAAAAAGCCACTGAAAAAAAAACCAGAAAAAAGTCCGAAAAATAAACAGACCACGGAAAAAAAGGCCACTCAAATAAAGCCCACGGATAAATACGCACATACTATATTGTGTTACAAGTTATAATTTATAATCATAAATTGTTTTATATTGAATCATTGGGTAATTAATAATATAATATAGAACCTTCAACCTACAGTCAAAAAGCATCAATTTTAGGTATACACTTTATTTATACGAAAATTACACAACTATAAAAATAATAATATAACAAGTCACTACAAAACAGGTGGACCAGGCGGTAGGTTTTTTTTTGTCTTTTTTTCCGTTGGATATTTTTGCTGGGCTTTTCTTCAGCTGGCTTTTTTTTCCGGTAACCAATAAAATTATGACTTATCAGTTATCAACATAGTTACCTATTGGTACTATTAACAAAGTGAATTTATTTAATATTATGAAATACTTTCTTAAACCCAAAAAGTTAGACTTATGTATCATCTCATATAGAGTTGGAATTTTTAACGGGCAACGAAGTGCACGGGATCAGCTAATATTATATAGTGATAGTAGTATATTATGGTAACATCGTTAGATATTTATTTTTAATAGGTTCTTAACAGTTGCGTATATGAGGGGGGGGGCGATAGGGGCGATCGCCCCCCCCCGGAGAGATCTTTGAAAATAATATTTTATGATTGTTGAACTTATAAGTGTTTCTAAATATTTTAATTAATAAGTAAATAATTTTTTTTGGATGAGAAATTTTTGTGATAACTGTCAACTGATAATACATAATACAACCGGATTACTGATTAGTGATTGCTCTATGGTACGCAAAGATGGAACATTTGGCCCGAGGACTGGGTGACGTAGTCTTACCAAACGAATGATGGAACGGAACGTTATCTGTCGAAATGGTTACCTAATTAATGGTCACGATGGGTCATTTCGTTATTGTGATAAACTGATAACTTATCTGATACTTATCTATGAAAAATTAAATATGATATTTATGAAAATGTGTTGTGTTTGTTCGACTGTTCCGTTCGCCTGTTCGCCATACAATCGTTATTCGTACACTTGCGACTTGCAACTGATTTAACATCCCGTATCCCCGTGCACGCTATATTTTATATACGCAAACAAGGTTCTAGGGGAATAAAAAAAAAAATCAAGTTGTCAAGTTTTTCGAGTTATCGCAACTCAACTGTATAAAGCCTTACTAACAACCTTGAAACAAATGTTTTCATTATTCGGAATGTGCCATATGCTTAATTGCTCTGTATTTAGTTTTAAGTAATAGTAGTTACATTCTCTCTTTGTTATTTTCGTTTACTACTCTCCTCGACTTCACACATCCACTTTTTGGCTTTTCCACTTCTTATTATTTATATCCTTATATTAGTCATATCTGCTACTTTATATTATTTTGTCAATAGGTTAAAAACTTGGCTGAGATCAAAAATGGGCCAGGATCGGCTTACAGGGTTGGCATTATTAAACATTCACAGATCTATAGAAATAAATGTTGATGATGTAATTGATCGATTCACAAGTCTTAAAAAAAGAAATATAGATTTTGTTTTGTAATAAAAATTCTTTAATAAAAGTGCTAAATTAAATAATAAAAATGCTTTGTTTTTTTATATGTCTAAAAAAAATGTTTTTAATTGGTAGGGCGGTTTACTCCTCTTAATATCGCCCCCCCCCCCCTAGGTGAAGTCTCAAATACGCCACTGGTTCTTAATTATAATTAATAAATAAGAGTAAATTAGTCAGGAGCTAGCCCTCCCCCTCCCCCGCTCTCAGCACAACAAAATTTAACTTGTCGAGACTGACGTTTTATATTTTATAATTTGTACATTTGGAATGATTTGTTATTGTATTTAAATTAAAATATTACCATACATATTTTATACCAGAGTTTGATAGTGTTACAAGTTAGTTACAAATTGCAATAGGCATTATGTATGATAAAGGTAATCAACATAATACAAACCGACATTGATAGGGCTGTGAGATATGTTCATGGAAATTAAATTAATTTTCTTATTTAAATGCATGTTTGTATAAAACATTAAAACAATATTTAATCTTCGCAAATGAATAGGTGATACAGTAAAATTATTAAATATCAAGTACAATTACATCCCTTCATAACCCTTAAAATACATAACCATATACAATAAATTGTGTCATAAGTTCAAAATAAAAAATTCTGCTCTAAAAAAAAATAAAAATAGAGAAACGTATTATAATATTATACTTAGTATTCTTTTTTTGTATTGACATGATAACATATAAAAAAGTGCTGCATTTTTTTTACTCAAGTAACAAATATAGTTTTGTTTTTACTTGTTACTTTTTGTTTTGTTGTTAGTAATGTTGTGTATCATTAATGTGAATAATAACGCAAACGTAAATTATAGTCTTTTATTGTCAAACATATAAATCGTAATGTCGTATAATGAAATTATGTGCTGGCTACTGACCGATGGACAATCCCCACCGATCGTAATATGATACTTATTATTATTAATGGTTAAACACTACGTTTCTTATATTATATAAATGCTGAATATGCAACAAGTAATATTGTAATCTATAACTAATAACTGTAGAACAGTGGTTCTTAACCTTTTTCGAATGACGGAACACTTAAAATTTTATAAGATTTTCGCGGAACACAGCCGTAAAATAAAATAGTAATGTACTACATTTTTTAGTTTTTTAATATATTAACCTAAAATAATTCTATACACAATACAGTATATTTGTATACACGTCTTATACTTTTGTGTGTTGGAAGTCCATAAAAGTCAAAATGAAATTAAACATTTTTTTTTGGCGGAACACTTATACAAAGTCTATGGAACACCTGTGTTCCGCAGAACACCGGTTAAGAACTCCTGCTATAGAAACTAGTTAACTTAAATCACAACTTAAAAGTAACTTATACCTAAACTTAGAGAATTGAATTATTTTTATTTTTCAAGTCTGTATTGTAAAGCCATTCTCTTAAATGTTTTGTCCGATTGTATGCTATTTGCTTCGGTGTTAGCGCCTGATAAATATTGGTAAATTTGTATTCATCAGAAACTGAAAAAAAAAATCAAATATTTTACAAATTGAGTAGCATGACATTTTTAGATCATTTTTTTGAGAGATAAAAGAAAAAACTTGCAATTTAATATTTGAATCTTGTGTTCGAATTTTGTCAGTATAAAATTGTTTATCTTATATTTTGATCTCAATATGAATGTTATGTACGATGTACGAATACATGGGTAGTTTTCTGAATTTAAGAATAAGTGATTATTATATAAAAAGAATTCTTCAGAGTTAGCCAATTGCCAAAAATATTTTTTTGGACAGATCACAGATCACAGTTCTAAGATTGTTTAAATGGAAGGAAACATTTTTTTCCCGGGACTCAACTATAGTGCAGTATGATTATTGATTTTGAACACTAGATCCAATAAATATTACTTTTGAATCTGGGACTCAACTAGTATGCACAGGTTATTTTTAACTGTATTAAACGTTTTAGTTTTAATCGATAATAGAAACAAGTATGAAGTATTATAGCTTATAAGTTATAAGTTATAAGTTATACTTACTATTAGTATTATTAGGAATATGATTGATGATATTCTTGTGCTGGAAATTGTTGAACTCGTCGATTAAACGACATATATTTTGTTCTGCAGCCTTTACTTTTAATTCTTGCTGATATCAATATTAAATTAATTTAATTTGTGTAAGGCAAAAAAGTCAATTAAAATCATTACCTGACTTAAGACATCTAACGGGCTGAAATTAAGTTGTTGAGAATATGATGTCAAGTAGTTGGAACATAGATCATCGGACATCTCTGCTTGACCCAAATAATTTGCGTATTTTGTGTTAACATCTTGCAAACACACTATAGTATTTATTCGGTTACAATAATAATTATTAGATACTATTGAGTATTGAGGTGTAAGATATTATAATCTACAAGTTTAACAAAGTACAAACCATATGGATTATTAGATATAGAGTGCATACTTGACTCTGCAGGATACATATTATATTTTTTGAGACTTGGTTTTTTATATGTATTAGTTATTATATTTTCGGTTTGACATGAAACTGAACATTTGTTTGGGCATAAATCCGTGTACTGTTCTGTAAGACAAAATTTAGAATACTGATAGTGTTAGATTTTAAAATTTATATCGGTAACTTTTTATTTACTATTTACACTCCCGGAGAGAGTTTACAAATATATATTATGTTATAATATCACCAACCATGCTCATCGCCATTTTTTCTAAATTCATTTAAATGATTGATATTTTTTAAATGCGAATGATAATAATAATTTTATCTATATTTAATTTTATTTTTGGGGTTTTTAAAATCTAAATTGTACAAATCTTCACCAAGTATAGACGTGAACGTGAAAAGTGAAGTCTAAACATAGACCTTATATTAGTATTACCTTTGTAGTAAGGTCTATGAGTCTAGAGGTAAAATATTCCTTTATCTACCTTACATTTTTATCTCAAGAACATGGTGTCATTGGTCTTTATAATATAATATGTTATTTGTAGTGCGTATTTGTAAAATCAATTAGTAATAAGTGTATAGAGTAATCAGTCTGTATATAATATTTTACCTTTTGGGGTGTATTCATTTGTTGATGATATTGCGTTAACCAATTTTAGAGTATCGTTTAATTCATTAGAACAGTGTTGAATTTTTTTTCTTATGTCGCTATAATTAACCTTATGTGAACCATCAGTTTGATACCTACAATTAAAAACTAATTATAGAGTTAAGTAATTTAAAATTATGACAGATTCTCAAACTCTCGAACTTTTGAAAATCTGATCGGTGAGACTAGAGAAAAATGGTATTCAAGCAGAACGAAGTTTGAAATATTTTAATAAAATGTAGGATAGCAGATTAATTTGTTCTTTTATTTGTCAAGTTGTTTTAAATTTAAACCCTTAAACTTAAAAATCAAACTTTACTTGACAACTATTATATTTTACAATTCGTTATGGTTACATTCTTAAAAATTCAAAAGTTGGAATGAGATTCAAGTTCAATAAAAAATTAAGTTCGAGTTTGTAGTAATTCAAGTTTGACCCATCCCTAATAATATAGGTAAGTTAAAATATTGTTAGCTATAGTTAATTACTCTAAATTCAATTCTGCACGATCTGAACAATCACTACTGCATAATTTTGGTTGTGCCTTATGCTTCGTAGATTTATTATTTATATTATGTTCAGAACAACTTTCGTTGACACGTTGCTTAACTAAATTGATTTCTTCTCGCAAAGCTACATCCAATTGCTCAGCAACACTATATAATTTATCTTCGGATACATTTTTGAGCTTTTCTTGGAAATTTATGTGAAACTGTCGTATTTCAACCTCCATATCACGTTTAATATTTTCTGTAGTTTGTTCAAAATTTTGTTTAACGTTTTCCAATTCGACGTTTTTGCACGATACCAATGCTTGGTTCCAACCATCAGTAATTATTTCGGTATTTTTAGAAAAATTTTTTTTCAATTCGTTCGATATTTCATCAAGTTCCGACTGTATTTTATGTTTAAATAAATCTGTATAGTCCTCTAAATCTTTTTTGAATTTATGAAAATGTTCAGCACACATTTGTTCAGTATTTGATACATTTTGAATATATTTCTTATCCCATTCTTCAATTAAGGACTTTCCAGTATTTTCTTGCCTGGATAAGAATAATAAAATTAGTAACATATTTAGGTTATGTCATGTCAAGAGTATGCACTAATTTTTGAGAAAAAAATCAAGCCTCTAAAGTTACCCCTAGAGAGCCTTAATAATAAGGCTCTCTAGTTATCCCTATCTGAGTTACAAAATTATACAATTAAAATAAAATAATTTGAGATTTTGTTGAAAAATGGTGTTGAGCGAATATTCCCGTTTGTTGTTTTCCCGTGGATTTTTGTTCGTTTTCCTATTATTAAGACAATTTATTAGAATTTTTTTACATTTGACCGATGTCAATGTTGAAGATTACATAGTAAAATAAAAAACTAATAATTAATAGAACATACTCCTAAAATCTAAGATGAAATTTAAAAAAGTAATACTGGAAATAAATACACTTTAAGATAAATATTTTCCCAAGTAAAGATATACTTACACATTTTTTAGTATGTTTTGTAACTGTAATTCGTTTTGAGTAAAAAGCTCAATATGTCGTTTTTCAAAATTATTATTTTGTGAATGAATAATGTCATCAATCTTTTTAATCAATTCTTCCCTAAAGCACATAGTTTGTAATTAGGTTCTCATTAGTCATAATTAAACATAAATAGATAATATTTCAACTATAGGTACAATCTTACTGCTTATATAAAATTATACACTTTAACATAACTTGGTTATAGTTTTAATAACAGTTATATATTTATATACCTATAAATATCACTTTAATAGGTTATTATACTTAATTAATTGTTGGTTCTTACTTTAAGATGTTTTGGTTTGTTTTAACTGTATCTTCTAATTTATTTTTCATCAAATCGCAATGCTTTTCAACTATAACTTTAATACGTGCGTCATCTAATAATGTTGGTTTCTCGTCTTCCAAATTATTGCCCGATTCAATTTTAGTTTTTATGCAATTAGACTTAACATCAAAAATACCTTCATCACTTTCTATTGGTTTTCTCTTAAATAATTTTGTTTCGTTAGAAAATTGATTAAGCGGAAATCGTTGGGTTATCTCTGCCATTTTACTTTTAGTTGCGGAAAAACTACTAGAAGCTACTGATGATTGTATTATTTTAGAATCTTTTGCTGTAGAATTTCCACTGTCACTAACCAAATCATCCTTTTTAACATTATACAATTTTGTAGTTCCAGTGGATTGAAATGTATTGAAATTATCGATTGCAGATTTCCTTTCATCATTGAGTGAATCGATTCTCTCATGTCGTTTATTTAATTGAACTGTTGTTACATTATTATCTTGTTCTTTTTGATCTGTTTTGAATAACATAAATATAAAAAAAAAAACATTTCGCAGCCATTTCAATAATAGTACTTATTCTTAATTTAAATACGTTTAATAGTATTAATATTATAAATTTATAACTCAAATTATACTACAGAAATCAATATATTACCGGCCCCTTCATAGTCGCTGTTCAAATTATCAGTTTGAATTTCGGATGAAGTACTTTCTGATCGATCAGAAGATTCGGTCAAAGTTATATCAATTTTTCTTAAATTTTCTTTTCCTGTATTATAATCCAAATTCATAGATGGGTCATCATCGTTTACTTTTTTAATGTTTTCACTTAATTCAGACTTTCTAGACAGTTCATCTTTGCTTGGTAATATATTGTACTTGGATAGTACACTTCGACTAGCTAGAATAAAATAATCAAGGCCCAAAACATTATAATTATAAAAACCTATTTATTACAATTTACAAGCATGAAATAGTGATTTGTGATAAGGCATGGCTCCAAGACCAAGCATTTAAAAAAAATCCTAAAGGTATATTACTATTATTATTTCAGACAGTGTCTATGATAATGCAATATCTAAGGGAAGAATTTTCAATTTTAATAATCATTTTTTTGTTCGCCTACATAAACTAATATGATGTTCTATGGTATACGATTTTTTTGCTATGTGCATAGTAGTTGTGTACATGTGCAATGTGCTCTTTTTTTAAGCAACCATATTTTTAAATCACAAAACTATTATTTTTGTAATTTGTCATGCTTTTAGTGGTCAAATCAACTTGAATCTAAATAAATTGATAAGTGGCAAATAAATAGAATATTTAATGTAGGATATCATTGACACGTGTACAACGTGAGAAATTATTATTTTTTATAATTATTTTAAAATTATTAATCGATTGTCTTTTGTTTTTCAGTGAGTGAGTTAAAATAAAAATATAACATAATTTGTTCTTGTCCGTTTCAAAAACCATAATAAATATAAATTAATAATTGTAAATAGTAAAATAGTTATGAATCGTAACTTATTGAAACTATTGTTAATAGTAATGAAAAAGTCACAATATGTTCAAAATAAAATAGAAATATTTCTGATTAAAATGCAAATAATTAATTAATAATATCAGTTTCATCTAAAATCTTACCTGTATTTCTTTGATCAAAAGTATTAGTTGTTGAAAATTGAGGTAAATTATGTAAAGTAGATGATGTATTTGTAAAAGAGGTGTTTAACCTGGTATTTTGATTGGTAATAATATTATATTTAAAGAAAGTTATTGTTAGCACAGAATTAATTTTGTACTTACTTAATTGGTCCTAAAAACTTCATATTGTCTTCCGAATTATCAAAATCTAATGACTCTTCTATAGGAGTCTTAAAGCGTACGGTTCGTTTTTCAGCAACTGCCTTTTTTTCATAGTTATTCTTAGAAATAACAAAAGATAAATTTAATTAATCATAAGTAAGAAAATGAAAAAAAATATGTTCAAACCTTTATAAAAAAAAAATTAAAAAAATTAAATTAAACCTTTATCTAAATTATATGTAAATATTCAGTTATGAAGAGGCTAAAAATACCGAACATTGATTTTTAAAAAATCATATGATGATTACTATACTATAATATTAACCATAATAATTTTTAATTGTAAATAAATAACAAAAATTAATTTGGTTTAAAATGGGTGTGTAGTAAGATTTAGTTTCCAGTTTAATTCCATAAAATAATAATATTTATATAATTTAATTTCAAATATTACAGAATAAGGAACTCTATTATTTTATTTATATCAATGAGCTCACAAAAAATTGAAGGTTCATTATCTGTATATATTTTATAAAGTAGTACATAACATTATGTTATACTCTATATAGCTAGGTACATAATACATGGACTTATTATTTTTGGAGAACAATATAAATTGTAATACCTATTTTATTTTTTATTACTTAAAACGTAGTAAATTTACAATTTTTTTTTTAATAATAATGTATAAAAACCCTGGTGGGTTACCAGGAATTTGTCTAGACTCTAGTATCTATAATACTTACATTTTTTGTGTGGTTGAACATTATAGTGTCGAGTAAATTATCTTCGTCTAGAATTACGTTTAATGATATGTCTTGACCTATGCATTTTAATAATAAACAAATAGTTACTGTGTCTAATTAGTAATTAGTAATAATAAGTACCTAGGTATATCATTTATAATGTTCAGGAAAAAATAATTAACATAGGATATTTTAATTTGGCTATTATCGATGAAAATTTCAATAAAAAAAAGAATAAAGATATTTTATTTTAATTTACCAGTTGACGAATCTTCTGAACGTGTTTTTTCGACTATTTGTCTGTAATATTCATCTAAAGGATGTTCCCATTGAGATATTTTACTTTGTTCGTTATAGTAAAAATACTTATTTTCTTTTTCGATATAACTACGAAATAATTACATAATAAACCGACTAAATCTTAATAATTGCTAATTTTTTTAAAATTATATTTATGAATAATGTATATAATATATTTTTTTTAATACCAAGGAAACCAATCGGAAGGCAATGGTTCAAGTAAACATTGTCTTGCAATACTTAAAAGATGTATCTCTTTCACTGCGTCTATTCCTAATCGTGACGCTTGTTCTTCAATCTCTATAAATAATTTAAAAAAATAAATATCATTAATTTTCCCATAGTAAAATATAACGTTCAGGTACGTCGTAGTAACATGGTAAAATCAAAATTTTAATTAGATTGAAACTATTTATTTCCCACTCATAAAATATGAACAATTTTATCAAATCGACAATTTTTTACTTTTACATTTAAATTTTAGAATATATAATTTTGTTTACGATTTGGCATGCTTGTGTAATAATAATATGGCTAACTTTAAACGGATGTAAATTTTAAACTAGATACTAGTGACTACTGTCTAGTATCCGTACAGTTCTTATTTTTTATGCATAATCACAATGAAAACTACAATCGATTAATAAAAAAGTTTTTTGAAATTTTGATTGAGATAATAAGTTCCTACTATAAGTTCTGGAAAAGTCAATTGTATTCCAGTTTTTTTGTTATTACCTAAAAAGTATGATTACACAAATCTGGTTGCTCTGTAATATTCTGCTTAAGAAAACAAATTCTTTAAAAAAAAAATAGATAATGTTGTTTTTGAAATTGTTATTTAGGATAAAATGCAAGATACCATGATTGTTGGGAAATCAATTGCTATTTTTTTTTGTTTTCGTACAACAGCCAAAAAAAACATGAATTACCATTTTGTCAAACACTTTCAAATTCAGTGCAACTTCGAAGATAAAATCGATAACGAGTACATACCTAGGAGCTAAGCTGCATTTTATGCTTCAAATTAACAAATAGAAATATAGTATTTTAAAATCGTTTTTAAGTATTCTCATAAAAAAATTAATAAATTAAAAAAATATAAAAATTGTGTTTTACTAAGTGCAGGATAGTCAAATGGCATAGACAGAAAATTTTGAAAAAAATTTACACAATCTCGAATTTGAAATGTTTTATACCTACTTTACGAAGTATAAACTACTTTATTTCTAATTTAAATAATAATTTTCTGTGTAAAAACTGATAAGTTAGATTTCACTAAATTACTACAACATAATTCTATACATCACATACATTACCGATTTGTGTTGGTTCACTGTTTTCATCAAATACTTCTTTGCATAAATATACTCCAGTATTTAAAATTGACATAATTATTTTTAATCATTTATCAACTTAAAACTACATATTTTAAAAGATTCTTATTTTTTCATAGAATATGATTAGACAACTATAGATGGGTAGGTATGAATATCGAATAAAATGACGTAGTATTTTTAAATTGTGTAGGTACATTTAAAAATGTTATTTTTAGTGTTTATTGTAAGTTAGTTATTTTAAATAATTAAATTAACACAACAGACAATAATGTTGTGCCTGGAAAATGTGTGTTGTGGGTGTTAGTAATTAAATACCATGGTGACTGAGTTTTATGTTACCACAGCAACCATTTGTATATGTAGAGCCACAGGCTGTACCCTAGCCGCAGTCTATAATACCTATATTTTCGTTTTACTAATTTTTGAAGTAAAGCTTTTTAAAATAATGTTAAATAATTTTAAAATAATTGTATTGAAATATTTGAATTTTTACTAAAAAATAACAACTGTAAATACAAGATATCGGCAATGTCATACTATAACATTATATTAGTTGTATAGGTATTATTAAATGTAATAAAGCATAAATATAAATTTTTATATAATTTATTTATACATTGTTTTTACATTTTCGGTTACCTAAACAATTGTCATCCAAAAGACAGTAATAAATACGAAACAATGAACAATTTAAATTTTAAGCCAGACGTAATGTATTATATAATTTATAAAATTAACTTAACTTATCAGTGTACTGCCAAATCGTAGGTACATTAATTTTCCATAGGTATCCATACTGTTTATGGTTATTGCAAAATGTAATAATAAAGTAAATAATTGGTATATACCTATAACAAAGTACAGTTTTTACTTTTTTTTAAACAAAAGCAAAATGTGCCGGATCAACTGGAGCATGATAATCGTTGGGGTTGCTCATTCGACTGGTGAACCGGCTGTCCTTTCTGAATAGATGTGCCAAAGGCTTTTGAATGGGTTGCTTATCGCTATTTGTTGTTTTCATATATGCCTATAGTTATGACTACCATATCAAACACTTATAAATTAACACTCATATCGAAACTAACTATAATGGTTTATGTCAAAAATAACAACAAAATATGAGCACATTAAATTTTGTTTTCATTCTACATTTTTTTTAAATGTACTACAATTCTGCTATCATATTTTAATACGTGCGTAATTGAATATTTTAGGTATTATTTAATAGATTATTAGAATCGTCGTATTTTGATTGTTTTATATAGGTAATACATAGACCAGTCAATTGAATAAACAAGTGTTCTGTAAATAACAAATTTTCATTTTTCAAATTAACAGTATGAAACATAATTTTACACAAAGAAATACTGAATACATGGTAATATAATATGTATATGATATAATATTCAAAAAAAAAATTTAAAACAATTATAAAAAAAAAAAATAATAATATTATAATATAATATATATATATTTAATACATCTTAATGTATTTAGATACCCGCAGGAATGGGAAGCGGGAAAACATAAAAACAAAAATCGCGATTGCCAACTTTTAGGTTGCCGGCGGAAAACGACGGACGTCGGTACAAAATTAAAAGAAAAATGTAAAAATAAATGCGACGAAGCACAAGGGTGCTCGAAAAACCGGATGAGCCACATTGCGGTACCAGGGTACCAATCTAATCATTATTATTCGGACGACAACAACAGCAAAACAACAATCTGCCGACCTTGAAGAGTCGGTTCCCCAATCTTGACGGCCTGCGACGATCTTGCAGTGGTTGTTCTGCTGCTGCTGACTTTACCGTGGCCACTGACGGTTCGATCTCGTCGCCGTCACTTTTTGCTACGTCTATGGCCGTATTTTGAACTGCCTCCTCAAAATCTTCTGACTGAATCACGCTCTTGAACTCTTGTACGTTCGGCTCACAATCTACGTCCGACGGCAGCTGGTTGTTCGCCGTTGTTGTTTCTTGTACGTCATTGGCCAAAAGACTAGGTGCCACACAATCACCGTCTTCAGAATGCCGTGTTATCGGTGGCAAGTGTTCAACTTCCGGCGCACTGCTGAAATACCGCGGTAACGGCGGAAGGTGCTTACCGTACTTCGTGTTAGAGTTTCAGATTTCTGACGCGACTTCGTCAAACTCCAGCAACTTGTCCAAAACACTCGGTACAAAAATCCTCGGCGCCTCCGTTTGTGGTGATGCAATACTGCTATCTCCGCTTGAAACAGACGACGACCGCTCGTCACTCGGGCCCAGAGAGAGGGGTGGAAAATTCAATGACCCCTGAACGGCGGCCTTCAGTAAGTCCTCGGCCACCTCGTCCAACACTTTGATATCTGCCGAAGTCAACGTCGTCGTTGGTTGTTGGCCGCTGAGCTCACTGATATCACACACAATTGTAGGCCTCGTGGCCAGTGTAGGGTCGTCCACACTGTGTTCGTTGTCTTCCGACAAATTACTGCATCCGCTATGGCGGGTGCTATGCTCGCATTGCTGCAAACTCCCTGCAACAGCCGGAACATCCAATTGCTCAGGCGTTGTAATATGGTCTGCTTCTGTGAAACTTTCCATGATGGTTTTGTTTAAAAAATCAGAAATTGAATTTCAAGATATTATAATTGAGTTAAATTATTTAAATAATTTATGAGACAAAAAATAGTTTGGGTAATGCCTCGTAGTAGACTGAAACAAAATTTGTTATAAGACGTATGAATAAACATTCAGACAAATGTACATATCCATGACAACGAAATATAATATTATAAAATTGTTGAACATTGAACATAAAATAGGTACATGGCTAATTAATTTTCAGCCACATTACATATGTATATTTAAAATGACGATTGTAATATTCTTACATCTTAATATATGGTTCAATAATAATTCGTTTACATGTACGGTTAGCCAAAAGTGGCTTTTTGAATTGACAACTCTACAATATAAAATATAATATGGTCTCCGCTAGTGTCCACGATATTCGTGTAGATATGTTTTACAATGAGTTGTGCAAAGCGCGCCCGCTCGTTTGACTTAGTGAACCCGTTGACTTTGCCTCATTTTATTTTGGTTTTGTATTTACGTCCGTCATTTTCCGTCAGCAACCTTAGTTGGCTCTCCTCGCGATTTTGTTTTGTTTTATCGCCAACCGTTCTTGCCAACACATATATAAATTATGATGTATCAAGTTATTGTACGTATTCAATATTTCATTGTGTAAAAATGTGTTTCATATTGTTATTAAAAAAAAAAAAATTAATTACAAACAGATCACATGTTTATTCAATCGACTGGTGAATAAATAATTTTAAACAATTAAAATGCGAAGATTCTAATAATCTATTCTATAATGCCTAATATATTTAATTAAAATGCAGATCGGCTGTTTAAAATGCGGTACTAGTATTTTAGTAAATTTGAAAAAGTTTAGAATGAAAACAAGATTTAATGTGCTCATATTTTATAAATATTTTGTCGAGATTCTCGACATGAACCATAGTTTTAGTGTTTGATATTATAAACATAATTATTAATTACACATTTTTAAAATTTTCAAGAGCAAACTACATAATATTCAGATATTATATAATGTAGTTTATATCATAGGTTCACTAATCAAATACAAGAGCCAAAGATTTATTTATTAGGTAATTTTAAAAACTGTCATTTAAAATTTTAAGGCTTTTGATATAAGTTACGGGAAATAAAGATCTGCTTTCAAGAAAATCTTTTCATTTTATGTTGAAACTCGAATACAAAGTATAATACAAATCAAAATAAAAAACCAATATTATGTCATATTTTCAAAAATATTATCTGTGTTGAGTCTGAAAGAGAAAACTAATAATGTACTGACATCTTCTCAGTCCTCAGGGCAGATATTCGATATCAACTTAAGCTAAAGCTTAAGACTAAGTAAAACTCTACTATAATTTCCTAGATTTCAATTGAAGTTTAAGTATATCTTAGCTCTACAAATTACAATGATCCATAGTAGGTATCAGTTTCTCTTAAGACTTTCCATACGAATTTCAAATCCAACCTAAAAAACCAAGTGAGGAAAAATAGCTGCGTGACACCGGAGGTGGTGGCCTTTGAATGGAAAATGCCGATGGCTGTGCCGTTTGCCTTTAATAACAGTGCAGAATACCGCAGTCTTTGTATATTTGTATATGCGTGTGTTGGTTGGCCCGGAACAAAAATGTTCTGATAATGCGGTGTCTACCATAAAATCCTCGTTTTATGAATCATCGACGTCTTTTACAAAATATCCATGCTGATTATATACATGCATTGAGTTTTTCATTATGTCTTAAACACTTAAAAGTGTTAAAAAAAAATTGTATTAATATTTTTCACGGCATATTATATTACTTTCGAGAATTTCGATTCACTTTTTAGTGCCTTGTAAAGTTGTAAGTTGTAGGTACTTATAATTGATTTTTCAGCTTTTCCTAAACGAAAGAATTACTCATAGTAGGTACTTATATAATATGTGTTTCCAGAAGTATAAAGAATGAATATTATTATTTGTTATTATATAGTATATCACTTTCTACTGATGACAATTAAGTTTTTACTTCGCTAATATCTATCGATATAGGTGTATAGTATAATTTATACCATCAACGTTTTTTTTATCCTTTTTCACAGTTATTGTTTTTGAAATTAAATTTGTTAGTTCTTCGTCTATATTTAATATTACGTTCACTATAGAATCATTGTCGGGTAAAAATGTTCGGAATAACTTACTAACAGACTACTTACCTGTAAGTCATAACGTAAGAAACAGTTGTGATTAAAATATTATGTTGTAAATTGCATCATCATAATAATTATATGGAAACTATAATGTTTATTATTTTCGACATTTTTAATTAATTGACCTTTTCCTAGTGTGGGACTTTTTTACTGGGACTTTTTTTCCTGTGATTCTAAACATTGTATTTGGATACTTCATAAGTATATAGTATTCCGAATAAAGTAATATAATACAAGTATTCCAGATAATTAAAAAATATTTTTTGTTTAAGATGTCAGGAAAATTATATTTATCTTCAAGAATAGGTATTTGAAATTATAACCAATGTTAAAATATAATATTACGTATTTATACACCTATTAAATGTGGTAGTTTATAACTTCCAACAATAATAAAATAAAATAAATTATTTAATATTCTGAACAAATGGTATTTGTAATGCATTTAAAGTATTCAGAATACAGTATCAAATATTTTTGAGAAATAGTATTCTAAATTTATTCCG